AAATATCTGTAGAAAAGACAGAGGGAAGACCCAGCACGTCTGTGAGAATAACCTTTTTGAAGCATTTTTGTAAATAGTATGTGTGTGTTTTGTGTTTTTTTCGAGGAAATAGACAGGAGATGATAACATATGGCAAAGTGTTGAATAATTTATCCTGTTAATACCTTTTTTCGATAAAATTCAAAAAAAGAACGTCATCTGAATAAATGCATTTTCATGTTTAAAGGCTTCATATATATTTATTTCTTGTTACATTTGTATGTCAGGTTTTTGAATAGCAGTCTTCATTTCTTTCCACCCAACCCTCTTCGGAGATACGTGGGACACTTTTATTGACAACAAGTAAAAATTAACTTGTCCCAAGGGTCCGCATTTTCCAGTCAGACGTCAAACGATAAAATAGGAGGACAGGGGAACAGACAAAAAGAAAGAACCATTTTATTGGTTGTTTTATAATATCTAAATTCAATTTTTTCTCATTAAAAGACAATTTCTTCTGCGATGTCATTTTTCTTGACTGTAAATTAAAGATGTTCCAATTTACAAAGAGAATTTTGGCAGCAATGTAAACGTTGAAACCTATATATATATATATTTATAAAGATATAGATTAGATAGATACATAAATAGAATAAAAAAATCTTCCTAGATAAATAAATAGATAGAATATATATAGATGAGATAATTGGCCTATATTTATATATATATATATATATATATATATATATATATATATATATAATATTTATATATATAGATATATAGATACCAATTTTAGATAGATAACCAGATAAAGATGCATAGATGAGATAGATAGATAGATTAGATTGGAAAATAAACAGATAGAAAGATAGAAAGATAGATAGATAGATTTCAGATAGATTTTTTTTTTATATATAAATATAAATTTTAATATATTTCTATTTATAAATATAATGAATAGATATAAATATAAAAATATTAATAGATAATAAAACAAATATTAAATATAAATGCAGTAGATGAGATAGATAAGTTTATGAAAAAGAAAAAAACTAAAACATTTAAGAATTATTAATATATATATATAATAAATTTTTACATAAATGGAAGATAGATATAATATGAATAGATAAGATAAAAATCAGAGAGAAAAAAGAGAGAGAGATTATATTATTATATATATATATATATATATATATATATATATATATATATATATATATATAGATAGATAGATTTATTTAATAGATAGATTGATAGATAAAAAGATACATAGATAGGTTCATAAATGGATAGATATGATTAAAAAAAATAAATATAGATCGATAGATTCATAGATATGACTATAGATAGATAGATATATATATGTATGTATGTATAGATATAAAAAGCTAGATATCTAACTGTTTAGATGAGATAGATTTTATAATGAAAATACCAGATAGATAGATATTTAATAGATCTGAATAGATACTAAGGCTGGATAGATAGATAGATAGATAGATAAGAAATTTGATTTGGATTAATAGACGACAAGGGAAAATACTGGATAGATTTTTTATATATTAATGGATTGATAAATATGAATTAGATAAATTATGTATATGAGATACCTGGATAGAGAAAAAGAAAGAGAGAGAGAGATTTGAAAGAAGAGATAGAGAGATTAAGAATAATTAATATACTATATATATATATATATATATATATATATATATATATATATAGATAGATAGATAGATAGATAAACAGATAGATAGATAGATAGATAGATAGATAAAATTTAGATAATATGTATAGATGAAATAGATCGGTAGATATGATCAGAGATATATAGATATGAACAGAATGGGATAGACATGAAATTACTGATATAGATAGATTGATAGATATGAAGAGATAGAGATAGCTACCTAGCTAGATAGCTAAATCGAAATATACATATGAAGAAACATACCCCCTTGTGAAAATGAATTGAAACAACTGCTTTAGATTCCTTTCTTTCACCATACGGTCAGTTTTAGACACATTTAAATTCGGTTTAAAACTGATTTTAAATTTTCCCTTAGATTAGGTAATTTGCAGTGGTGTGCTGTAACATGAATCTATTTTCGGTGTATATGATTAAATTTATTGGGCCTTGAAAAATATTGCGTCATCCTGTGATTGTATGTGGTATTTATCACGCCCAAACACTATTGTCTTGACTGTCGATTAATGTCCTAATTACATATCTAAGATAGATAGAACTTCCAAGAAAGTTGAAAAAATTTAACGCAGCCCTAAAAAAATGGGTGTTAAGAAATGAAAGAATTGTAGACTGTCCCGATACTATCCCGATTTAAAAATCATTTTCTGCTGATCTGAATTTTGATATATGCAAGCAATTTCTTGGTGGAATGGACATACAAAGTATTTGGATGAATTGGGTTTTGTTTGATTGAAAAATACGAAAAAAATAAATAATAACAGAATTATTCGTTTTGTTTAATTAATTTGCAGAAGATTGATACAAATCTGGTGAAAACCTAATTAAATTAAAAGAATGTCCCTAAATGAAATTTTTGACAATGTTCCCTCTACAAAGCTCAAGATTTTGAGTGGTTAGTTTGTTTGTTTAACCGCACATCGACCTCTTTTGGGTTATTTCATTTTTTTCCAGCCAAAATAAAAAAAAATATTATTATTCTAAAAACAAACTGAATTCAAGTAGATTCAACAATACATTTCTATGTAGACATTTCTAGAGGCGGTGATGTACGTTTTCTTTTCTTTTAAGTTATATTTTGGAATATAGGTTGATTTAAGAAATTGTAAGATATTTTATGGATTAATGTCATGAAAGATTTCTTTTGATATTGTTGTTATATATTTAATATATAAATCTAAATATTTAAACATTTTTTGAGCCTTCAGACAAGAAAAATATATTATCTGGCATTTCTCTACAAAATGTTGGTAATTCAGTTATAGTATTTCTTTTTTTAAGCATTACGCCGTGAGCAAGGCGTGAAGCCACTAAGATGCAGGGGGTTGCAGAAGATTTGGAGCAAGAGCAGATAGGAGTGATAGAAGAAAGGATGAGGAGAAGGGTAGGGGATAGATCAAGGTAACTGGAGATGTCGATTGACATTACATTTGAATAGTTGGAGATTATAGCTCCCAGGGAAACAGTAATTGGGGAGGGTGTTCCACGGGCGAGAGGTGCGAGGTATGAAACTATTGGAGTAGAAGAGACGGCTATATTTAAAAGTTTCTACAGTTTAAGGGTGGGAGCGGGATGCCAGCCTCGTAGGACGCTTGAATTCATGGAGTCTGGGAACCAGTGAAAGCAGCTCATCGGAGCAATTACAATGAAAGTATTTGTAGAAAAGACAGAGAGAGACGACGGTGCGTCTGTGAGAGAGTGACTGTAGACGAGACGCCAGATCAGGGCCAATTACATATCCGTCTCTGGATCTTGTTGTGGGAGATGCGGCAGAGTAATGGATAGCGGCTCAGATTGAGGAATCAGAGAGCCGAGTTCGAATTCTAGTCTAGTTCTGTGCTAAAGGCATGAACGCTCTTCTTCTCCCATCAGCTAAATAGCAGGACGTAACCTTGCGTGGCCATTAGTCTAAGAGAAACCGGCCTGGAGAGAGAGAGATAGGCTCCGTCTTAGAAACACCTCAGTTACTGTAGCTGCAGTACACACGGTGACCTCACGACACTTACGATAAACAAAATGTTTTTATATTTTCAACTTTCACCATTTTACTGAACGATTCCTATTCGCCTATAGCAAAGACTCTGAGAAGAGCTGCCACCCCGGGTAATGGAGGACCTGTGAATAACAGTAATTAAAAGGAATTCCAATCAGAGAACACTTTTTTTTTGATTTGTTGGATGTAGTTTATCGTTATACCCAGGACGACAAGGCTCAAAAGGTATAAGTTTACTGGCAGAGTAAGCAGTAAGAGGAACATTTTTTTGGGGGGGGAGATAACGGTGAAATCATAACAGATATTAATTATAGTCGTCGGGAAAGCATCCACTTGGGAGTCGATTCCACAAGGTAGCGGTTTGTCGGAAGAAGCTGTTCGAGTGAAACTTATTTCTTACGAATAGTGTACGAAGGAAATTAGGTTGCTTCATTAAATGAAACACGGCGGGTCCTAGATGTGAAGGCCTGAACTTGCGGCACTCACGAATGCAGGACATCTGATGCGAGCCGAAATAAAGAAAGAAGAACTATCCAATGGAAAGGCTCATTCAAAAAATTTGTGAAGGAAAATTAGTACGAAGATAAAGCCAATTGTCCTTTATATATTTTTTTCTTTAGTTTTTTAAGGTTTATCAACCCTTTGTGGGTTAATTAAAGCTGAAATATTTTGAATTTTAAGAATGATTCTTCAATTTGATTTTGGCGAGTGAATATTGCATTAACAATCTTTTGAGAATAATAATGATTTTCCGAATATTCCCTACTATTTAACCCATATATGGGGGAGGTGTTGAATTTATACATTGCGTAATGGTACCCTCGTGCAAGTGAATGTAGCAGACCCGAGTGTCATTCGAACTCAGCACTCCAATTTCTCATCCCGAGCCGTTATCGATTACACTAAGCACACATCAAAGGTTACCATACCTGATGTTCCAAAGCGGTCAACCCTTTAGGTACTGACTGAGCTCGACGTTGCTTAACTTCGGTGATCGTATAAGAACACGTGTTTCAACATTATGTGGCCATAAGCCATTACACCATCCTCACATTCAAGCTTAAAACATATTGTATTCCCAAGCTGACCTGGCTTGATGTTGCTTAACATCGGTAATCGTACAAGAAACAGTGTTTCAACTTGGTATGGCCATAAGCCATTATCCCTTCATACATCCGAGCTTAGAACACCTTGTATTAGCAAATAGCCACCCATCTAAATACTGACAGGTTTGACTCTGCTTAACTTCGGTGATCGTACAGGAACCTGTGTTTCAACTTTATGTGGCCAAAAGCTATGACATCACATCCAAGCTTAAACACATGGTATTCCCAAGCGGTCACCCATCTTAGTACTGACCTTGTTCAACGTTGCTTCACCTCGGTAATCATACAAGAACTTGTGTTTCAACTTGATATCGCCATAAGCCATTACACCATCATCACATCCAAGCTTAAAACACCTGGTATTCCCAAGCGGTCAACCATCTTGGTACTGACCGTGTTCAACGTTGCTTAACCTCGGTAATCATACAAGAACTTGTGTTTCAACTTGATATAGCCATTACACCATCATCACATCCAAGCTTAAAACACCTAGTATTCCCAAGCAGTCACCCATCTAAGTACTGACCAGATTCCATGTTGCTTAACTTTGTTCATAGCTGTGCTTAGATTAATTTGTGAAGTATATAAATGAAGGTATAGAAAACAATATAGCGAAGTACTTAAAGCACAACTCGGGGCCCTCAATCAGCCTTGGGCACCCCTGGTCTGAGGGTTTGAGTTTGATACGCTCCGGCCATGATAATCATAGTGGTTAAGAAGCAAGAGGAAGAAAAGTGTTAGCGATATCAAATTTATCTTTATTTTAACCTCATCCATCCTGCAAAACCGGCGCAAAAACAATTCGCCAATTTTTCCCAGTTACCCGCGCCAGTGAAATAAAATTTTCGCGCTTGATCCGTGTAGTGACAATGGTGTTAGATTTGAGGTGGTAACGTTAAAATGTTTCAGAGAATGGGGAGCCACTGTGGAAAAACGCGTTTCTGGAACAGAGAAAAAGGCGTGAGAGACGTGAGTCAAACAACTTTGCCAGGGATTGAAATCGTTCTTTTTTTTTTTTCTTTTTTTTGATGTGATCTTGATTAAAATTGATATACCAGTATTCAATATGCATATGGCCATATTCTTCCATTTATATATATATATATATATATATATATATATATATATATATATATATATATATATATTGAAAAATACATTATATTAAAAAATTTAAATCTTCAGACACACTGGGTTGTATATTAATATTCTTTCGTTTCTATTATTATTTCATTTAGATTCCTCAACTAGTTTCTGCCAACATGGTCATCATCAGGAGGAAAAAATTCTCTTGTTGGTAGCAGTGTAGCAGTTTATATATATATATATATATATATATATATATATGTGTGTGTGTGTGTGTGTGTGTGTGTGTTTTAATTCAAAAAATCAGTTAGCTATTAGTTTCATGATTTTGCACAATCATCAGGTAGCCAGTCCGTAACATAGTATATATAAGAGACTAGTATATACATATATATATATATATATATATATTATTCTATTTCTCCCCCTCTCTGTTTGATATATATATATATATATATATATATATATATATGTATATTATGTGTGTATATATATATATAGAGAGAGAAACTAGTCTTTCTCTCTCTTCTCTTCTCTATCTATATATATATATATATATATATATGTTATTCAATTCACCCCTCTTTTTCTAAATATATATATATATATATATATATATATATATATATATATTTGAAATTATGCTCAAATGTATTGAACACTATAGTTGTTTATTACGTTTTTTATGACATTCTGAAAAAACTAATAGGCTAGAATTTACCTTTCCTCTGCCGTGCGCTGATGGCTCAGGGGTAGGACTTCTCCGACTGATCCAAATTCGATACCAACTTGACGCAATCGGATGTCTAAATACGCTGATTCGCTGTGATACAGCAAAAATGGCCTGTATGTGGATGACATAATAGAAATATATATATATATATATATATATATATATATATATATATATATATATATTCATATATATATATATTCATGTTTTGACTGCGTGAGATGTATTATTTGTGTGTTTTTTTAATTTTAGCAGGAGAATTAATTTCGAGCCCTCGCGTGTTGGACATGGCTTGTATTCGAGTGGGCGATTTTCTATTTAAAAAAATAAAGTTTCAACACTCCCATCATTATACAAGGTGAGGTTGATGGTGGAAGTGAGATGTTTGGTGTACAGGTTCACCCTCATATATATATATATATATATATATATATACTATGAAATGGACAAAGTCCGATAATTATTTTATGGCATTTTTATGTTTATACATTCTTTTTGTACATACAAATATTTAAGTAAATGCTCTGTTTATAATAAACATTATTAAACAACATTTACCGGCCAGAATGTCCGAGAAATTTTTACAGAAAATATTCGTCCTCCGACAGGATTCGAACCTGTATCCTATACGGAACAGTTATTTAGCTTGACGTGCCTTTACCGATTTGGCCACAATCTCTGTTGCCTCATTGTTGCAGACGTTTCGGCCGTTGTAGGTTCCGACATTCTTCAGTTGATTGTAATTTCGAAGTTAACCCTGCATTTCGTCCACCGAGGTAGAGTCTTCTAGTTCCACGTGTCATGCCTCTTTCGAATACTTCAGTTATGTCCCTTTAACTCAACTCTCCAATTTCTAAAAAGGAACCATGGCATTACCAGGTATTGAACTAATTGAGTTCTATATCAAGTCTATAATATGACATATGGCCCAGTGGAGAAAATGGCTGGTTGGATCCGGCGGACGACATAAAGGGTTCAGTTCGAAATTCGATTCACCTGAAGAAGGCTGAAGCGTACAACGGCAGAACCCTCGTGGATATGGCTACAGAGACGAGGTCAACAGTCCGAACAATGTAAACAGTGTAAATAATTATAATACATCATATCAGAAATTTAGACAGATTTCATTTTCCATATCTATCTATCTATTCACAATATCTATCTATCTATCTATCTATCATTTATTCTTATTGTCTATCTATCTATCTATCTATCTATCTATCTATCTATCTATCTATCTTATCTATACATATCTATTTATGTCTGTCTCAGCTTTTTCATCTTTTCTCAGTCTGTTCATATCTATCTATCTATCTATCTTTGGGCACCCCTGCGTGGTGTAATGGTTAGCAATCTTGTCTTGCTAGATCAGTTACTACTGAAAAGTGAGTTCGATCCTCACTGGGTGCCCCATACTTTCAGCCTTGTGCCACATCTAAGCCGGGCTTAGAAAATCACTATCTATCTATCTACGTTCATATCTGTATATCTATCTATTTATATGTCTCATCCCTACATATCTGTCTCATTATTTTTGTATCAATTCATTTATATTTAATCTCAGTATGTTCATACCTATCTATCTATCTATCTATCTGTCTATCTATCTGTCTATCACTTCTATTTTGACCCAACAGACAGGCCCGACATTATCCCACAGACGTCAGCGTATCCGAGTCTTAGCGTCGGGCAAAAAGCGAATAGGTCACGTGACCGACACCTGAAAATTGATGATGGTCGCTCTGCGAAAAATTATTCCGAGAAGGAAAGCTAAGAACGTGAGTAAAACACCTGCTAAATCCCGAAGAAAAAAAAATAACAATCGAACACGGAGAGGAAGAATAAAGAATAGAGGTAAGAAAAGAAAAAAGAAAAAAATGGAGACGTTATTGCAGAAAGCCAAGCAAGAAATTACTTACAAGACTGAATCAATTTTCCCAAGACGCCCAAAAACAAATGACATCTACAGTGATGAAACATGTTGTTTCTGTATTTGAACCCTGGCTTCGGAGTTTCGATATAAAGATCAATCAGGCTGGATTTTGGCTTATTAACAGAATACAGTGGCAACTCTGTAAATAATATAAATATATTTTATTTTAGTTTAGTTTGTTCTTTGGATCTTAATTAATTCACCTCAAGATCAAAAAGGATTTATGGTATTTAATATCCCACCCACGAGGAATATATGTGGCACGAGGCCGAGATTAAAGTGGGTTTCTCCGAGCCCGTATGCTCGGCCAAAAATATACCGCCTAAACGGGTTCAATGCCTGTTCAGAAGTCATTACGAAACCTATCCCTTCGGTTAAGCTTCGTTCGGGTTCCTCTTTTACAAAGCATCCGTTCAACTGTCATTTGGTGCTCGTTACACCATTCAAAAAGGATTTATATTTACTACAATTCATCCCAACACTCAGAAAGGTCCCTTAAAAATTAAAGACGGACAAAAAAGATTGACTTCTGCGATGATGAAACATCTTTTTATATATGTAAACGCAAGCTATGGAGTTTCGTTATAAACATCAGTCAGGCGAAAAATCATTGTGGCACGATGTTTCGAAAATCATTCATGGTTAACAAACTTGTTTTCCTTGAAGAATTACGACTGAGTAGAGAGTAAGATTCTCCCTGGCTGCTCCATACTTTCGGCCTTGTGCCACATCTAAGCCACGCTTATAAAATCTGGGAACTTCGATGTGGTGTAATGGTTAACAAGCTTGTCTCGCTAGATCAGTTAAGACTGACTAGTGAGTTCGATCCTCACTGGGAGCACCGTACTTTCGGCATTGTGCCACATCTAAGACAACGCTTATAAAATCAGGGAACTTCGACGTGTTGTAATGGTTAACAAGTTTGTCTCGCTAGATCAATTAAGACTGAATAGTGAGTTCGATCCTACCTGGGTGCTCCATACTTTCGGCCTTGTGCCACATCTAAGACAACGCTTATAAAATCAGGGAAGTTCGACGTGTTGTCATGGTTAACAAGTTTGTCTTGCTAGATTAGTTAAAACTGAATAGTAAATTCGATCTTCACTGGGTGCTCCATACTTTCGGCCTTCTGCCATATCTAAGCCACGCTTATAAAATCAGGGAACTTCGACATGGTATAATGTTTAACAAATTTGTCTCGCTAAATCAATTAAGACTGATCCACACTAGGTGCTCCATACTTTCGGCCTTGTGCCATATCTAAGAGAACGCTTATAAAATCAGGGAACTTCGACGTGGTGTAATGGTTAACAAGTTTGTCTCGCTAGATCAATTAAGACTGAATGGTGAGTTCGACCCTCAATGGGTGCTCCATACTTTCGACCTTGTGCCACATCTAAAATACGCTAGTAAAACACTAAAAACAAAAGCCAGGCGAACTTCAGCTTCGTGTAATGATTTGCCGGCATGTCACGCTTGAACAATTAAGACTGAATTTATTCGATCCGCACTGTGTGCCCCGGACATTCGGCCTTGTGCTACTTTCTAAGCTACGTTTAGAAAATCATTTTATTTATCAAGCTTGTCTCCCTAGATGAATTACGACTGAATAGTGAGTTCGATCCTCACTGGGTACCACAAATATTTCGCTCTCGTGCCACATCTAAGCTACGCTTAGAAAATCATTTCGGTACATCGATGAGGCTAGCAAGCTTGTCTCCTTAGATGAATTATGACTGAGTAATGATTTCGATCCTCACTGGGTACCTCATACTTCCGGTGTGTCAGTCAGTAGAAGGTCATAATTCAGTCATTTTTCTGATTTTTTATTGCATTTAACTGTTTCTCAAATTCATCATTATTTGTAATAAAAACATTTTCATTTATATATATATTTATATATATATATATATATATATATATATATATATATATATATATACAGGGCACCTTTTTGTGGTGTAATGGTTAGCAAGCTTGTTTCCCTAGAACAATTACGTGATAGTAAAATTTGTGCCACATGCAAGCAGCGCTTTAAAATTCATTTATATATATATATATATATATATATATATATATATATATATATATAATGAGTGACTCCATCAAGTCATTCATTTCTGATAGGACTGCTACTTTAAGCAGAATTTTTTTTCTCTTGCTGATGGCCAGGCTGGTCGAAAGTAGTCGAGGAATCTAATTGAAATAATAAAACGAAAAAAATATTTAATATTAATATACAACCCAGTGTGTCTGAAAATTTATTTTTAATCTTTTTAATATGTTTTATTGTCTAAAATATATATTTGTTACATACATATATATATATATATATATATACTTACGGGATCGTTTTCACCTTATACAAGATGATATTTGTATGATTTCACTTTCAAGTTTCTTGCACAGCTCTTTGGACTGTCATGGGTGACACTCCTCTCTCGCGTGCCAAACGTCTTATGTATTGAGTTGGATCTTTTCTAATTGATCCCTTTAGCTGTAAGTTGAAATGTTGATCCCTCTTCCTGTTGTGACCTTTTGATCCAGTTTTTATCTTTACTCTCCTTTTTTTAACGCATTCACCATTCTCTTGATGGTTCTTGAATGTACCTTGAAGATGGAAGCCAGAATATGAATGTTGGCACCATAACTGAAGGCCTGAATGATCTTTTTCCTGTCACCATTGTTCATTTGGTTAGACATAGTGGGGTTGACACGACACGATTTTAACCTGCTCTCTTCCTAGCTGAATAACTCAAATGGTTTTTCAGTGATTCCTACGACAAATGGTGTTACGATGACTAAATATTATCTGAAAACTTGGAAAAAATAAACTGAATTAGTTTAGTGTTTTTGTTTCGATAGTAAAATATTATTTTGTGGGATGGACAATTATCACATGGTATTATACGAACTGTAATTTTCAAAACTGGCCTAATTGTTTTTTACTTGTTTTTTACTTTAAACAAGAGAATATTATCATGCATGTTAAATAATATTATGATATCCTTCTTTAGTATTGATTAATGCAACACAAATCTTTGGCATTTGTTGCAAAAATTTCTCAAAGTATAAGTTTGATAATTATTGTTTTTTTAAATTATCTTTTTGTTCAAGTTTTTCAGATACTAATTCTTGGAGTTTGATTCAAAACTTAATATATATATATATATATATATATATATAATCTATATATATATATGACGTACACCAATTATGAAATGGACAAAGTCCGACAATTATTTTATGACATTTTTTATGTTTATACATTCTTTTATAGATACAAATATTTAAGTAAATGCTCTGTTTATAATAAACAGTATTAAACAACATTTATTGGCCTGAATGTCCGAGAAATTTTCATAGAAAAAATTCGTCCTCCGACAAGATTTGAATCTGTATCCTATACGGAACCGTCATTTAGTTTGGCGTGCCTTTAACCGATTTAGCCACAGAGGAGCGTTCAAATATTAGCAAGGTCAATTTACTGCCTTTTAAACTTCAATTTCTATGAATTTCTATTACATTCATATCTGCTCATGGCGTATCCAAATGTAAACAAATGACGTCATTTAAATTATGAAATGGACAAAAGTCCGACAATTATTTTAAGACATTTTATTGACCACTAATATATATATATATATATATATATATAACGTCACACATCATGAACTGAAATAATGTCCGACAATTATTTTAAGACATATTTATTTTATCCATTCTTTTGTTTGGAATATTTTTTAAGTAAATGCTCTGTTTCATAATAAACAGTATTAAATCAACATTTATCGGCCTGAATGTCCGAGAAAATTTCACAAAAAAATATTTGTCCACTGCGATAAGGATTGGTGTATAATGTCAAATAAATTCCAATAACCAACAAATACTATTCTTAAAAAATTGCTCAATACAGAGTAAAGCAAATATAATTTTTTTTTAAAATTATAACATAAATATGTTATAAAAATCACTATTTAAATAGCCATCTTGTTTTGTTATTTCAAATCTTATCAAATTGATGAAATTGATGTGAAATGAATTTAGGTAAATATCTTAATATATTTTCTGTTTATAGTTTTTTTTTTATAGATACTCTTATTTGGGTAAATGCTCTGTTTTTTTTTTTTTTTTAATTAAACAGTATTAATTATATTTACCGAGCGTGAATTTTCGATAAATATTAGATTTATGCATCGTCCGATGAAAACGAAACTATTGGAATTTAAATATATCATTTTTTTTACTGGTGAAACAATTTCTGTTTCTTATGCAATCATATTTTTTTTAAAAATAATTATCTCTAGGCTCTACTTCTTAAAGCTATTGAGAACTTACATTTTTTTTCATAAAAATATAAAAATAAAAGAACTTCGGATCATCAAATCTAAAAGTTTTTCCGATTATATCAATACCCACACACAAACACTCCATATATATATATATATATAGGACATATATATAGATATAAAGAACAGTAAGATATATAATCCAGTGTTTTCTTTGATTTTTTTTTTTTTATAAAATAAAGCTCAATGTAAATTTAAGAAATTGATATTATAAATTAACTATTTTAAAACCATCATTTTAAACTAGTTAATATATATATATATATATATATATATATATATATATATATATATATATATATATATATCCTCAACGTTTGAAAAAAAAACACTATGTCCCATTTATAAAAAAAGTGGAACCTAAGTTTACGAATTTTAATTCCAAAAGCCCGTTCAAGTAAAAAATTTTTATAGTAAATCAAAAACTATTTTCCAATAGGAATCAATTCAAAAATGAGATTAATCCGTTACTGGTTTCCAAGATGAATACTT